GCGGTGATGACGACGACGGCAATGACGACGACGACGACGATGATGATGATGCGGTGATGACGACGACGGCAATGACGACGACGAAGATGATGATGATGCGGTGATGACGACGACATGGTGACCACGACGATGATGATGATGCGGTGATGATGATGCGGTGATGACGACGATGACGACGATGACGACGACGCGGTGACCACGACGATGATGATGATGCGGTGACAACGACGAGGACGACGATGATGCGGTGATGACGACGATGACGAAGACAATGATGATGATGCGGTGATGACGACGACGCGGTGATGACGACGACGCGGTGACCACGACGATGATGATGATGCGGTGATGACGACAATGACGACGACGATGATGCGGTGATGATGACGATGACGACGATGACGACAATGAAGATGCGGTGACCACGACGACGCGGTGACCACGACGATGATGATGATATGGTGATGACGATGATGACGACGACGATGATGATGATGCGGTGATGACGACAATGACAACGATGATGATGATGATGCGGTGATGACGATGATGATGACGACGATGATGATGATACGGTGATGACGATGTTGATGATGATATGGTGATGACGATGATGACGATGACGATGATGATGATGCGGTGATGACGACGATGACGACGATGACGATGATGCAGTGACGACGACGACGATGATGATGATGCGGTGATGACGACAATGACAACGACGATGATGATGATGCGGTGATGACGACAATGACAACGACGATAATGATGATGCGGTGATGACGATGATGACGACGACGACGATGATGATGCGGTGACGATGACGACAATGATGCGGTGACAACGATGATGCGGTGACGATGATGACGACGACGATGACGATGAGGTGACCACCGTCTTTGTTCGATGGACAAAGGGCCGAAAGCTGCTGCGAGGATGACCAACGCGGTGCTGTGGCGGCCCCTAGTGGCCACGGCCGCACAGCGTCGGAGAATCGGAATGTTGATTTGTAAACTCGAGGAATCCGATGAGCTACAAAGCTCTTGTGTTTTTTTTTTATCTCTGTCTGCTCTCCTCTCTCTCTCTCTCAGAGGGAACAACCCGGAGAAAACGCCACGCAACCACGGGGACAGAGAGACACACAAACTCAGGGTCGGGAACTCCTGTGTACCAGGCGAGGTAGTTAACATCTCCTAGCCACCGTGATGATGATGAGACGAACACACCACGACCTCCTGTGTACCAGGCGAGATAGTTAACATCTCCTAGCCACCGTGATGATGATGAGAGAGACGCACACACCACGACCTCCTGTACACCAGGCGAGGTAGTTAACATCTCATAGCCACCGTGATGATGATGAGAGAGACGCACACACCACGACCTCCTGTGTACCAGGCGAGGTAGTTAACATCTCATCAGGGTCGGGATAGAACCCACGACCACCTGTGTACCAGGCGAGGTAGTTAACATCTCCTAGCCACCGTGATGATGATGAGAGAGACGCACACACCACGACCTCCTGTACACCAGGCGAGGTAGTTAACATCTCCTAGCCACCGTGGTGATGTAAACTCACGGTGGCGTTTGGGCCAGCGTGTAGGCCAAACACCCGGACAACTGTAGGGGGCTCTCTAGGGCGGCCTAGTGGAGGCTCCCTCTACCAGCAGCGGAGTGAGCGAAGCAGTTTGTAGGGCCGCGTCTTTTACCCCCAACTACCAATGACGACAATAATCATTTAGGGGCCGTCCATAAATGACGTCACGCGATTTGGACGATTTTTGACCCCCCCCCCTTCGTCACACGGCGCCACAAAAAGTCAGATCCCCCCTCAAATATGACGTCACAAAGCTCTGCCCCCCCCCACAAAAACCATATTTACATTTTAAAAATAAAACATGCCTCAAATCGCTTTGAACTATTGCCATTGTAGTGCGTATTTAATGTGGCGCTGCACTCTGATGTTGTAGGAGAAAACATTTATTAAAAAGTCAATTTTATTAAGTAGAACGTGTTGTCTATATTTATTTAAATTTCTCAACCCCCCCCCCCTCGTCACACATCGTCACAAATGTCTGACCCCACCCCCTCCCTAGGTGCGTGACGTCATTTATGGACGGCCCCTTAGAGATTGCCTCGTGGAACAAGACCTGAGTAAAGGTCGTTGGATTTTCACGAATAGCAGGGCCGGAGCCACGGGGGGGGGGGAGGGTGCTGAAGGGGGCTCAGCCCCCCCTGAAAGTTTGGGAAAGTCGGGAATCGGGATAACCGGATATCCGGCTGCTGCAAAATGCTGCAGGCTGCCACCTCGTGCTGCCCTGCAGGCTGCCACCTTGTGCTGCCCTGCAGGCTGCCACCTTGTGCTGCCCTGCAGGCTGCCACCTTGTGCTGCCCTGCAGGCTGCCACCTTGTGTGCTGCCCTGCAGGCTGCCACTTTGTGTGCTGCCCTGCTGGCTACCACCTTGTGCTGCCCTGCTGGCTACCACCTCGTGCTGCCCTGCAGGCTGCCACCTCGTGCTGCCCTGCAGGCTGCCACTTTGTGTGCTGCCCTGCAGGCTGCCACCTCGTGCTGCTGCCCTGCTGGCTACCACCTTGTGCTGCCCTGCAGGCTGCCACCTTGTGCTGCCCTGCAGGCTGCTACCTTGTGCTGCCCTGCAGGCTGCCACCTTGTGTGCTGCCCTGCAGGCTGCCACCTCGTGCTGCCCTGCAGGCTGCCACCTCGTGCTGCCCTGCAGGCTGCCACCTTGTGTGCTGCCCTGCAGGCTGCCACCTTGTGTGCTGCCCTGCAGGCTGCCACCTTGTGTGCTGCCCTGCAGGCTGCCACCTTGTGTGCTGCCCTGCAGGCTGCCACCTTGTGCTGCCCTGCAGGCTGCTACCTTGTGCTGCCCTGCAGGCTGCCACCTTGTGCTGCCCTGCAGGCTGTCACCTCGTGCTGCCCTGCAGGCTGCCACCTCGTGCTGCCCTGCAGGCTGCCACTTCGTGCTGCCCTGCAGGCTGCTTGAGCGGCAGCCTTTAGAACTTATCAGCCACGTCAGCGGCTCCGACCTATTAATAAACTCCGCGTTCAAATCCAATAAAATTAGTTTTATACGTGTGTGGTGCCCATTGTAAAACATAAACACTGAGATATCTCAGTCAAAATCCCGGCTCCGCCCCTGACGAACAGTTGTCACATTTCTGTTTATATAAAATAAAATAAAAACCTAATCTCAAACCTTAGCTCAGCAGAACATTTATAATAAATAAAAAGTTTTCCTGGCTGGCACGCGGCCGAGCAGAGCACGCGGCGGTGACGTCACCGCGCGCCTCTGCCCGATGACGTCACCCGCATACCACGTGTTCAGCTAATGTACAAACCCTAAAAACCCTCTATTATGGATAATGTATTGTAATTGCTGTATTTTAAACCGCTATTTAAACAAACGACAAGCGTACGCATAAATACTTTTTAAAAATGTGCCAATTATTTCCATGTTTATTGCATATTACATAATTATCGCTTTTTTTTGGCTTACATATTTTCCTCAGGGCATATAAAGAAATATTTTTCCGTCGTTATGTTTAAAAAAAATCTAATCTACATAAAAAAATGAATCACTGACACGTACAGAGGTAAACCCTCTGGGCTGGCATCGTCTTCCCCCCAACACCTTGCAATGATGACGTCACCTAGCAACGGCAACCCGCCGTGACGTCACGATCTCCGGCGCGACAAGTTAAAATCGTCCCCCCTGTACGCCCATTAATTGTGAACAAAGGCAACAGCACAAAGAGACGAGGACTCTCTTCACAATTCCCGGCAAATCGCCTGATGAAGCTGGCTGCTTGTTGTTGTAATCAGCGGCGACACGTCACAGCAACTCGAATTGTAAATGTTGTTAGTGGGTTTACTCTCCAATACGCCGGCGGTGTCTGCTGAAATCGTAATTGGCCACGTTTCAGTTTTGGTTTTGCCAGAAAAAAAGGGGAAAAATCTATTCTCATATTTTTGGGACTGGCAACGGAGGTCACGTGATGGCCACGTTTTGTTTACACTGCCACTGAAAGCTGACTGATTGGCTGCGTCGGGTGGTGGCGGGATTTACGACGCCTTTATATCGACGCGATTCTCACCCGAAGGAAACTTTATCAATGGGACCGTAGTGTCGTGACGTCACGCGATGGGTCACGTGGCGCGCGGACCCCATCCCCCCCTCCCCGAACCCCCAATTCCCCCCACCCCCTCCTACCCATACGATTCCTGCCGCCCCCTTTTACCGCCCCCCTCCCCACGAATCCCCCATTCCCCCCTCTCACCCCTCTTACACCCCCCCCCGAACCTCGCATTCCCCTCACCCCCACCCCCTCTTACACCCCCCCGAACCCCCCATTCCCCCCGCCCCCATCCCCTTTTACCCCCCCTGCCCCACCCCCTTTAACTCCCCCTCCCCATTAACCCACCCATTACCCCCCCCGAACCCCCAAATCCCCCCACCCCTTTTGCCCCCCAGAATCCCCCACTCCACTCGCCCCCACCCTCTCTTACCCCCCCCGAATCCCCCGTTCCTCCCACCCCCTTCCTCACCCCTCTTACCCCCCCCCATTCCCTCGCCCCGCCCCCTCTAACCCCCCCCCACCCGAATCGCCCCTCCCCCTCTAACTCCCCAACCCCCCCTCCCCCTCTAACACCCCCCCCCACCCGAATCCCCCCTCCCCCTCTAACCCCCCCACCCAAATCCCCCAACCGCCCCTCCCCCTCTAACCCCCCCCCACCCGAATCCCCCATTCGACCCCTCCCCCTCCACCCCCCCCCACCCGAATCCCCCATCCGCCCCTCCCCCTCTAACCCCCCCCACCCGAATCCCCCCATCTGACCCCTCCCCCTCTAACCCCCCCCACCCGAATCCCCCTTCGACCCCTCCCCCTCTAACCCCCCCACCCGAATCCCCCACCCGACCCCTCCCCCTCTACCCCCCCCACCCGAATCCCCCATCCGCCCCTCCCCCTCTTACCCCCCCCACCCTCCCCCCGGCAACCAGGCGGCCCAAGATGGCGGCGCCCAGCGCGCATGAGACCATCGGGCAATTGGAGTGCGCGGCCAAGGCGCTGATGGTGAGCAACTCCTGGGCCGGGGCGGGGAGGCCTCCCCGCCTCTTCGCCTCCCCGCCTCCTCTACGGTCCCGGCTCTCCGCCTCGTCGCCTCGCTCCTGCGGCGAGGCCCGCGAGACGATGGCGGAGAGCGAGCGCGTGCGGGACGCGCCGTGCGGGTGCTACGCGCGGAGAGGCGGGCGAGCGGACGGGCGCCTCGCGGGCTCCCGTGTGGTGTTCACGGGCACCGTGTGGTGTTCACGGGCACCGTGTGGTGTTCACGGGCTCCGTGTGGTGTTCACAGACACCGTGTGGTGTTCACGGGCACCGTGTGGTGTTCACAGACACCGTGTGGTGTTCACAGGCTCCCGTGTGGTGTTCACGGGCACCGTGTGGTGTTCACGGACACCGTGTGGTGTTCACGGGCTCCGTGTGGTGTTCACAGACACCGTGTGGTGTTCACAGGCTCCCGTGTGGTGTTCACGGGCACCGTGTGGTGTTCACGGGCACCGTGTGGTGTTCACGGGCACCGTGTGGTGTTCACAGGCTCCCGTGTGGTGTTCACGGGCACCGTGTGGTGTTCACGGGCTCCGCGTGGTGTTCACGGGCTCCGTGTGGTGTTCACGGGCTCCGTGTGGTGTTCACGGGCTCCGTGTGGTGTTCACAGACACCGTGTGGTGTTCACAGACACCGTGTGGTGTTCACAGGCTCCCGTGTGGTGTTCACGGGCACCGTGTGGTGTTCACGGGCACCGTGTGGTGTTCACAGACACCGTGTGGTGTTCACGGGCACCGTGTGGTGTTCACAGACACCGTGTGGTGTTCACGGGCACCGTGTGGTGTTCACGGACACCGTGTGGTGTTCACGGACACCGTGTGGTGTTCACGGGCACCGTGTGGTGTTCACAGACACCGTGTGGTGTTCACGGGCACCGTGTGGTGTTCACGGGCACCGTGTGGTGTTCACAGACACCGTGTGGTGTTCACAGACACCGTGTGGTGTTCACGGGCACCGTGTGGTGTTCACAGACACCGTGTGGTGTTCACAGACACCGTGTGGTGTTCACCTCACAGACACCGTAAGGTGTTCACCTCACGGGCACCGTGTGGTGTTCACGGGCACCGTGTGGTGTTCACGGGCACCGTGTGGTGTTCACAGACACCGTGTGGTGTTCACAGACACCGTGTGGTGTTCACCTCACAGACACCGTGAGGTGTTCACCTCACAGACACCGTGTGGTGTTCACGGGCACCGTGTGGTGTTCACAGACACCGTGTGGTGTTCACGGGCACCGTGTGGTGTTCACGGGCACCGTGTGGTGTTCACGGACACCGTGTGGTGTTCACGGGCACCGTGTGGTGTTCACAGACACCGTGTGGTGTTCACAGACACCGTGTGGTGTTCACCTCACAGACACCGTGAGGTGTTCACCTCACGGGCACCGTGTGGTGTTCACGGGCACCGTGTGGTGTTCACGGGCACCGTGTGGTGTTCACAGACACCGTGTGGTGTTCACAGACACCGTGTGGTGTTCACCTCACAGACACCGTGTGGTGTTCACAGGCACCGTGAGGTGTTCACGGGCACCGTGTGGTGTTCACGGGCACCGTGTGGTGTTCACAGACACCGTGTGGTGTTCACGGGCACCGTGTGGTGTTCACAGACACCGTGTGGTGTTCACCTCACAGACACCGTGTGGTGTTCACCTCACAGACACCGTGTGGTGTTCACCTCACAGACACCGTGAGGTGTTCACCTCACAGACACCGTGAGGTGTTCACCTCACAGGCACCGTGTGGTGTTCACCTCACAGACACCGTGTGGTGTTCACCTCACAGGCTCCCGTGTGGTGTTTACCGCCAAATACTCTCTAAACGCGTGATGTTGATTCTAAATGTGGAGGGAGAAACCGGACGACCCGGAGAAAAATCCACACGACCACAGGGTAAGAGACACGCAAACTCCAAATATACAGCAGCAGGCGTCGGGGTTGGGATCAAACCTACGACTTCCTGTACACCAGGCGAGGCAGTTAACATCTAACCACCGTGATGATGATGAGAGAGAGAGAGAGACACGCAAACTCCAAATATACAGCAGCAGGCGTCGGGGTCGGTATCGAACCCACGACCTCCTGTATACCAGGCGAGGTAGTTAACATCTCCTAGCCACCGTGATGATGATGAGAGAGAGAGACACGAGTACGCGGCGCCCTGCCGTCCTACCTACCCGGGGGATACCGTGAACCACCGGGGGCTTCTGCGCCGCTGTTGGCTACCCGCTGCCGGCTCGCTCTTGGGTAGTTGTTGCCGACTGTTCCTCCCGCTAGCCGCCCTCTGGTCGTTGAGGGTTGCTCCTGGTGCCGCGAGGTTCCTCGCAGGCGGCTGCTGGTTGCCCTCGAGTCGAGTCTGGGTTTTCTCCTCGTGACTCACGAGCCACTTGCGATGGGTCCGAGAGTATAGCCCCTGGTTCCTCTACGGTCACCACTCTGGTTGCCAGCTGGTGGCTCCTGGTCACTGCCGATTGCTTCTGTAAACCCCCCCCCCCCCCTGGAGACTCGTGGTTGATTCTGGTCGCTCTGAGCCGCTCCTCTTGCACGCCGTTAGCCCCAGAGTCGCGTCCACGTGGTTGATGGTTGCCCCCAGCGGGGCTCGCCTTTGCTGCTGTTGAGCTCCAAGTCCCTGTCGATGCGAGCAGGGGGCGGTGCTGGCCCACGAATGGTTTGCTCTGGGAAGTTGCTCATCCCGCTGGTGGCTCTTGAGTCGCCCCTCATCTGGTGGCTTGCTCCCGAGTAACTCTCGGAGACTCTCGACGGTTCCGCGAGTCACCTTCACTGCTTGCTTTGTGGCTGGTTCCCAGTTGCTACTGGTTGTCCCTAGTGGCTGGTGGTTTCGGTCGATCCTGGTCATTCGGGATCGCTTTGAATGTCACCCCCCCCCCCCCCGCATCGTTTTTCCCGTCCGTGTGAATCCCCCAGTGTCGGGTGGGTACGGAGCCGCCCCGTTGCCCCCACCTGATGGTCCACTCCGTGGTTCCTCGTGGTTCTCGCCGACTCTTCCCTCGTGTGTGTTTCGCATACCTTGTCAACCCCTTGTCGGTGCCTGCCTTATTACAGATCAATTCAGACCTCATTGGTCACCCCGTGCCACTTATACATCTCAGCGTTCATCCTACAAAGTCCCATCATAAGGAGAGAAACACAGACACATTTTTCTCGTATTGAAATGGCTGTACGCCGTATGGACCTTAAAAACTACATTTCCCTGTACAAGTTTACGGGTAAACCGTATTGGTTTGACAGGTATGCTACTATACACTACACTACGATATACTACACTATACACTACACTATTATACACTACACTACGATACACTACACACCACACTACTACACACCTGTCAACCCTTATCAGTGCCTACCTTATTACAGATCAATTCAGACCTAATTGGGCACCCCAAGCCTTTATAAATGATAAATCTCAACGTTCATCCTACAAAGCCCGTATTAAACGGCTGTACGTCGTATGGACCTGAGAACTCAGTTTCCCTGTGTAGTAGTCGTAGATGGAGACGGAGTCGGAGTAGGAATTAAACACTTTTATTTATATCCTTAACAACGATTCCCTAGGTCCTTAACACGAAGGGGTAACGGCCCCTTCTACCCACAACCTAGGGAGGTACAGCCTCCGGGCTAGCTTACTCTAGCTTTGGGTCGAACTACTCTAGTCCTCCGGCTAGCTGGACCTAGGGGAGGCTGACCCACCGCTAGCACCGGTGGGTCCTTGACCACTGGCCCGTCCAGACCCGGCCCTGAGAAGGACGTCGGGCTGAGGGAACTTCAGGGCCCTAGCCTGCTGATCACTGGCACCACACTGAGCCCCGGCCCTCAGAAGGACGTCGGGGCTTGGGGTCCAGGATCTCCTCTTCAGGCGGCTCCACGGCTTCGGCTTGACACCAACTCCCCGCTCTGGTCTCAGGAGCCCGCCTTTTATACCATTTCCCACCGAGGGGCGAGGGTTTCCGAAGGATCACAGATCCCTCGCAGGCCCCTCCCCTCAGGAGAGGTGCTGGTCACAGGGAGCCCAACAATCTTGTGCTTGTTCGACCCCACTTTCTGTCTCGGACCAGGGTTCTGGGGGATCCCACACACACACACACTTCACAGCCTCCACCCCTCAGGCAGGGTCTCCCATCAGGTTTATGAATGACCTCGCCCTGGTAGTTACTGTGTAGCATGTGCGTGTTTACAGAGTGACCACCACACCTGTACAAGAATACGGGGTAAACCGTATGGGTTGACAAGTATGGTTTCGCTTGGAGAAGCTACGCGTCCTTCCACCGCCAAGCGACAATGTTGATTTACCATTGACCCCCGTGTTAACCCCCTTGCCTTCTTGGCTGTGCGCGGTAACGGGCCCACTGGCGTGGCTTCTTCGCTCACCGCTGCAGACTCTTGGGGTTTTATGGCTCGCGGCGGTTGCTTGCGGTTGCTGGTGATGTCAGTTGCCCGTAGGCTTTGGCCTGCGAACCAAATCGCTGTGGATGCGGAGGTGCTGAAGCGCACGTTAGCCGGCGTATGACCGCGGGGCACGCTACCTCTGTGGGTCATCTACTACAGAGACTTTTGCTGAACACGGCGTGAAGCTGAATCCACGGTGGCTAGAAGATGTTAACTACCTCGCCAGGTATGCAGGAGGTCGGTGGTTCGATTCCGACCCTGACGCCTGCTGCTGTATATTTGGAGTTTGCGTGTCTCTCTCTCTCATCATCACGGTGGCTAGGAGATGTTAACTACCTCGCCTGGTATGCAGGAGGTCGGTGGTTCGATCCCGACCCTGACGCCTGCTGCTTTATATTTGGAGTTTGCGTGGCTCTCTCTCATCATCATCACGGTGGCTAGGAGATGTTAACTAACTTGCTAGGTATGCAGGAGGTCGGTGGTTCGATCCCGACCCTGACGCCTGCTGCTGTATATTCGGAGTTTGTGTGTCTCTCATAATCACGGTGGCTAGGAGATGTTAACT